GGAGGAGGGGAGGCACAGACGCTCCCTCCCCTGGAAGAGGATGCACAAAGCGACACCCACGCACGCGCACACACCCACCCACCCACACACACACACACAAAGAAGACACCCCTCCCCGCTCCACACCAGAGGCTGGGCAGGATTGCAGAGCAGCAGCACACTGGGTCCAGGGGCAGGGGACGCTAGAGTCTTGGTGTGGACAGGCGGCCGGCCCTCCCTTACCCTTCCCGCTCTACTCCCAAAGTTTATAATGTGGCCCCTCCCCTTTGCTTGGCCCTGCTCTAGGCCTCCAGCTTTTTCCCTGCGGCAGGGGACAAAAAGAAAAAAGGTATAGAGCAAGGGGCCGGGCGAAGCCCATCCCACAGCCCCATCCCTCAGGCCGGGTGGTCTGCCCCTGCCCCCAGTGCTAAGGGTGAGGGGGGCTCTTAGCTGGCCACTCTCTGATAGAAATAGATGTAGCCCAGGTCCTTGGGGGGCTTCTCGGAGGCACACACTTTCTGGTCATTGTAGATCACCCATCTGGGGAAGGGCAGAAAAGGATGCACATTTCATGTTGGATCGGTTTCACCTCTCAAGGCACAGTCCCTACAATTTATCCTGATGCTTTTGTTCTGCCTGGGCCCCCAAACCTACAGCCTACCTGCTATCCACCTGAAGGGAGGGTCCCAATGCCACCAGGGTCTTTTCCCTTATTGTGTCTTGGGGTCCTCTTTTATCTTTACAACATTCCTATAAGGCAGGGGTCGGCAAACTTTTGGTGAAGGCTGGACAGTGGATCTCTCAGGGTTTACAGGTCACCTGCCCTCTGAGCGTGACTTAGTCTAGCTTCTGCAGCACAAATGCCGCCATAAACTCAAAACTCAGTGTCACCGAGTTAATGCTAACTCACAGCGAGCCTCCAGGACAGGGTAGGGCTGCCCCTGTGAGTTTCCAAGACTGTAACTCTTTACAGAAGTAGAAAGCCCCGCCTTTCTCCCAAGAAGCTGCTGGTTTTGAATTGTCAACCTTTTGGATCGCAGCCCGACACATAGCCATGATGCCATTATGGCTCTGAATGCAGCCAGAGCCAACGCCTAATGATGAGGTATGGCTCTATTCTAAGAAGACAGAATTGACAAGAGCCCTTCGGCTCATTTGCCCATCTCTGCTGTAAGTTACGGTCCAGTCTGGGGGTGTTTGTGCCCCATATCACAGGTTTTCTAAAAATTTCTTCCACAAGGTCCCTACGGATTCCCACCTCCCTTTCCCCACTGAAGGTGCCCACGGGCAGCCCCTCACCTGCCCTCCTTCTTGATGTGGCAGACGTAGTGACCACACATAGTAGAGGTGCCCATGTGGCTAATGAAGGCAAAGAGCTGATACTCTGGGGAGAGAGAGGACAGATGACAATGAATGTGGAATGCCTGCATGCCACTCTGAGGCTCAGGGCATGTGGCACATGCAGGGCACTCTTCAAGCCCCACCCCCAGGAACTGGCCCCTGGGGAAAGCAGCACTGCATTCCCAAGAGGAGCAGTGGGCTGGCTAGCTCCTCCCAGCTGTCCCATTTGTCTCCCGGGCCCACTCACTTCCAGGGCCGTCCCGGACTTTAGGTCCTACTGGCACCGACTCTGAGATGGAGTCGGCAGCGGAGCGGCCCTCTGAGATGTCCATGGCGGCTTCCGCGTCCAGGTCATCAATGTGGCTGAAGATCCAGTCCACGGCCCGCTCTAGACTATTGTTCTTGGAGAAGAAGGAACCGTTACTTTTCTGAGCACATTCTGGGGCAAGCAAGTCATTGGGGAGAACTCACTGCAGTCACCAAAGGACACCCAACCCCTGGCCCCCCACCACGCACACAATCCTCTGCTCGGTCAGACCGAGTCTGGCTCTCTGCTCCCCGTGGCAGCCCATACCGTGGCCCGGAGAGCCTTCAGGGCCTGGTCCTGGGAGAACCCCATGGAGACGATGGTGCTCACACAGTCGTCGGGCGGGGGCTCGGCGCCTGTGCTTATGGAGCCCGGTCCACTGGAGCCAGGCAGGATGAGGGGGTTCGCGAAATCTGTCAGCGGTAAAGAGCTGAAGTGTGTCTGCGGGGAGGATGGTAGCCCGCCCTGCCCCGCCCCGCTCTGCCAGCCAGCCTACCTGGATCATCCATGTGTGACATGACCCAGTTCATGGCCGCCTCGGCCCCGCTGTTGCCCGTGTAGTAGACGGCTTTGCGGCAGGCATCCATAGGGAAGCCCATCTCCACCAGTTGGATGATGACGGATTCGTCCAACATGGGTGCTGGTGGGGAATGGGGGGTGGGGTGGGCACACTGACTGCTCCCTTCCATAATGCACCCACAGCCCTTTCTCCCAGCCATCCAAGTGCATGCATGCCCCTCATCAACCTTATCCCAGAACTAGAGGGACCACACAGCTATCCCAAAGGCGCAGAAGGGAGGTGACAGGGCTTGCTCAGAGAATGGCCCAGCTTCTGCTGCAGGGCACTCACTCCCCCCCCACCCCCAAGCAAGGAGGTAAGGGGACTTCAGAGGCGATTAACCAGGGCCACGGCCACCCCTGGGGAGAAGGTGGCGGGGTGTGCTCTAGGGCGTCCCCAGCTTGATCAAAAGGACAGAGGAAACCGGAAAGGGAAGACGAGAGGAGCACAAAGGACAGGGTGGGGAGGCAGGCAGAGAAGGCCCCCCATCAGCAAGGAGAGAGACAGGCAGGAAGAGTCACTAACATGTCGGAGAGGAGAAGTGAGGGGAGCAGAAGGAGTCTTCGTCTTCGTTGCCATAGAAACCAAGGCTACCTTTGGGCTCATCCGGAGTGACCAGGGGAGGGGCAATGTCAGGCAGCTCCTCCTCACCGGGCTGCAGCCCTGTCCCCCGCAACTGGGAGATGTCCAGCTCTTCCGGCATCTCGATGGACACGTCTGCAAAGGGAAGGGCAGGGCGAGGGTCGCCTCGGCGGCTCTCAAGAACCACTTCTGGGGAGCTCACTGCTGGGTCATGAGGAGCTACCAAGAGCAGGCCCGACCTTAGACGGCCTGGCTCCCGGCTTGGGGGGGTTTACTACTTCGGAGGAGCTCCACTTCCTTGTTTGGGAAAAGGAAGTCAGACCAGTAATCTCTCCAGGAGCCAGAACTCACTGCCCAAGACTCTCAAGGTAAAAACATTTGACCGGTTATAAAAACCCAACTATGGAAATCACGTTGGTTGGGATTGTTAACTGCGAACTTGAAGACGCCTTCTAACGTTTCTGAGTCAGCGTTGTTTTGCACCAACTCTAAACTATGGAAGCTCAGAGGCCAGTCTGAGAAGCAGGGATTACAGGTGCTACGGCCCCTCCTGGTTCCTAGCATTCTCAGCGTCACCTCCCTCGGCCCGGGCACCATACCCAGCTTCTTGGGCACCCAGTCTAAGCCGAAGGTGAACTTCTTGATCTGGATGACCAGGTAGTCAGGGAATGAGGCAAATCGTGTGGTCCTAGGGAAGAGAGAATGTCCTGGTACCCCGAGCATCCCATGGCTCCCCTTTCCTCATAGCCCCTTAGTCCCTCCTGGGGGGGGGGGGAGACCTAAAAGCTCAAAAGATCCCCCACCACACTCTCCCTCCGCAGGCGCGGACACAGTACAGGGTAAGTAGTGAATTCCCTTCCGACCAGGGCTCTCTTTCCCATCTCCAGCCTGTGCCAACAACATGGCACGCCACCACAAAGGCTGTTTCTGGCAATCCTAATTCTGTCCCTAAGGGCCTGCACTCAACCACGACCAAGGGATGAAAGCAGACCCACAGGGTGGGGGAAAGCCGTGGCTAACCGCTCCGGAGCCCTACAGAGGGCGGCTCTGAGGCAGGAGGGGCTGGATGGCTGTAGGTGATGGGTGTACCAGGGGAGAGGGAAGGA